ACTCAACCTGCACTCCCTCATCAATGTCACTCAACTCAACCTCCACTCCCTCATCAATGTCTCTCAACTCAACCTGCACTCCCTCATCAATGTCACTCACTCAACCTGCACTCCCTCATCAATGTCACTCAACTCAACCTGCACTCCCTCATCAATGTCACTCAACTCAACCTGCACTCCCTCATCAATGTCCCTCAACTCAACCTCCACTCCCTCATCAATGTCACTCAACTCAACCTGCACTCCCTCATCAATGTCCCTCAACTCAACCTACACTCCCTCATCAATGTCTCTCAACTCAACCTGCACTCCCTCATCAATGTCCCTCAACTCAACCTGCACTCCCTCATCAATGTCACTCAACTCAACCTCCACTCCCTCATCAATGTCTCTCAACTCAACCTGCACTCCCTCATCAATGTCACTCACTCAACCTGCACTCCCTCATCAATGTCACTCAACTCAACCTGCACTCCCTCATCAATGTCACTCAACTCAACCTGCACTCCCTCATCAATGTCACTCAACTCAACCTGTACTCCCTCATCAATGTCTCTCAACTCAACCTGCACTCCCTCATCAATGTCCCTCAACTCAACCTACACTCCCTCATCAATGTCACTCAACTCAACCTGCACTCCCTCATCAATGTCTCTCAACTCAACCTGCACTCCCTCATCAATGTCACTCACCTCAACCTCCACTCCCTCATCAATGTCACTCAACTCAACCTGCACTCCCTCATCAATGTCACTCAACTCAACCTGCACTCCCTCATCAATGTCACTCACCTCAACCTGCACTCCCTCATCAAAGTCACTCAACTCAACCTCCACTCCCTCATCAATGTCACTCAACTCAACCTCCACTCCCTCATCAAAGTCACTCACCTCAACCACCACTCCCTCATCAAAGTCACTCAACTCAACCTCCACTCCCTCATCAATGTCACTCAACTCAACCTGCACTCCCTCATCAATGTCACTCAACTCAACCTGCACTCCCTCATCAATGTCTCTCAACTCAACCTCCACTCCCTCATCAATGTCACTCAACTCAACCTGCACTCCCTCATCAATGTCACTCAACTCAACCTGCACTCCCTCATCAATGTCTCTCAACTCAACCTGCACTCCCTCATCAATGTCACTCACCTCAACCTCCACTCCCTCATCAATGTCACTCAACTCAACCTGCACTCCCTCATCAATGTCACTCAACTCAACCTGCACTCCCTCATCAACGTCACTCAACTCAACCTGCACTCCCTCATCAATGTCACTCACCTCAACCTCCACTCCCTCATCAATGTCACTCAACTCAACCAGCACTCCCTCATCAATGTCACTCACTCAACCTGCACTCCCTCATCAATGTCACTCACCTCAACCAGCACTCCCTCATCAATGTCTCTCAACTCAACCTGTACTCCCTCATCAATGTCTCTCAACTCAACCTGCACTCCCTCATCAATGTCACTCACCTCAACCTGCACTCCCTCATCAATGTCACTCACCTCAACCTGCACTCCCTCATCAATGTCTCTCAACTCAACCTGTACTCCCTCATCAATGTCTCTCAACTCAACCTGCACTCCCTCATCAATGTCCCTCAACTCAACCTACACTCCCTCATCAATGTCACTCAGCTCAACCTGCACTCCCTCATCAATGTCACTCAACTCAACCTGCACTCCCTCATCAATGTCTCTCAACTCAACCTGCACTCCCTCATCAATGTCACTCAACTCAACCTGCACTCCCTCATCAATGTCACTCAACTCAACCTGCACTCCCTCATCAATGTCCCTCAACTCAACCTCCACTCCCTCATCAATGTCACTCAACTCAACCTGCACTCCCTCATCAATGTCTCTCAACTCAACCTCCACTCCATCATCAATGTCTCTCAACTCAACCTGCACTCCCTCATCAATGTCTCTCAACTCAACCTGCACTCCCTCATCAATGTCACTCAACTCAACCTGCACTCCCTCATCAATGTCACTCAACTCAACCTGCACTCCCTCATCAATGTCCCTCAACTCAACCTCCACTCCCTCATCAATGTCACTCAACTCAACCTGCACTCCCTCATCAATGTCCCTCAACTCAACCTACACTCCCTCATCAATGTCTCTCAACTCAACCTGCACTCCCTCATCAATGTCCCTCAACTCAACCTGCACTCCCTCATCAATGTCACTCAACTCAACCTCCACTCCCTCATCAATGTCTCTCAACTCAACCTGCACTCCCTCATCAATGTCACTCACTCAACCTGCACTCCCTCATCAATGTCTCTCAACTCAACCCGCACTCCCTCATCAATGTCACTCAACTCAATCTCCACTCCCTCATCAATGTCACTCACTCAACCTGCACTCCCTCATCAATGTCACTCAACTCAACCTGCACTCCCTCATCAATGTCACTCAACTCAACCTGCACTCCCTCATCAATGTCACTCAACTCAACCACCACTCCCTCATCAATGTCACTCAACTCAACCTGCACTCCCTCATCAAAGTCACTCAACTCAACCTGCACTCCCTCATCAATGTCACTCAACTCAACCTGCACTCCCTCATCAATGTCACTCAACTCAACCTGCACTCCCTCATCAATGTCACTCAACTCAACCTGCACTCCCTCATCAATGTCACTCAACTCAACCACCACTCCCTCATCAATGTCACTCAACTCAACCACCACTCCCTCATCAATGTCTCTCACCTCAACCTCCACTCCCTCATCAATGTCTCTCAACCCAAGTTCACGATGAAAAAATCATAGCCTCCAGGAAATAACTATTTGAAGGTGGGCGAGTGGATTGAGTGGATCAAGTGGCTCATAATGGCCATGTTAGAACAATGAGCCAGCAGCACTGATATCTTGAGTTCACACTCTAAGGTTTTTTCGGTAAAGTCACGTAGGTAAAAATAAAAAATAAAAATAAAAGAATAAATAAAGTGATTTATTATTTTATTTCTCTTATTATTTCTATTATTTTTATTACTTATTTTTATTTTTACCTACGTGACTTTACCGAAAAAACCTAAGAGTATGAATCCTTGGAGTCACGAAAGCTTCAAATCTAGAATCTTGAGTTTAATTAAATCAGGTACTCAAGGGCAGTGAATCAACGGTCTCAGCCCAGTCACATATGAATGCACAAAAACACTTATGAAATGTGTGGTTTGTCACTTCAATTAAGCTTGACAAGGCCTCGAGGCATGACATTTCTAAACACTGTACGATCGAAATAACATTTTTTTATCAGTGTCTCCATGTTCATTGACAGCTCTGGGTAAGAGATGGAAATTGTACATCTCAATAGCAGGGCAAGTCTCTTCACTGGATGGTCACTGTTCACTTCACATAATTTGGTACGCATTTTATAGTCCCCGAAAAAATCCGGGGCCGAAATAAACTCTGATCAGAATTTGAACTTGAGGTCTTCTAATGGCGAGATGTGCGCTCTACCACATTCCCACTCAGGTGGTTCACTTTTCATTCTTCACTGCATAAAGTAACGCAGACGGCGCCCAGCACGAGATTCCTCGTGCCGACTTAAGAGGCGAACATCTTTCGTCCAAGTGTAACTGGAGCACGTGGCTTCCACATGGAGCAATGCCTCCACCTGGTGGCCTCTCTAAGCAAGTTCAGTCAATGTTCCAGAGTACAGGGAGGCACCAAAACAAACATCCCCAATATAATTCTTGACTTAAAGCTTTCGCGACTGCAGGAATTCATATTCTTTGGGTCTTTCGATAAAGTCACGTAGACAGAACAATACAATAATAAAAATAAATAAAAATAAAGTGAATACAAAATTATTAAAATATCACGACATTTCGATTGCAACACAAGCATCGCCATCAGGATGTTCCATCTACGTGACTTTACCGAAAGACCCAAAGAATATCCCCCATATAACCTCAACGGACATTTGGGGCAAGTGCTGCTAGGCAGCACCTATGAAGGCCGGGACAGCACATGAGGGGGTGGGTGGCCAGCACCACGCAGGGCCGCCTTTGTCTCCTGACTGGCGATGTTTACACACCGAACCAGGTACTCATTTAGGGCCAATTTGAGGCACAACACCGACCACAAAAAAACTCAACACGTTTGTCAATATGGCTGTGGCCTTCCAAAAAAATACCGTTGTGACGTTTTGGCCAATGGTTTTGCATGCTCTGAAGGTCTATTGCCCGAAACGTCGTCATATATTATTAATTTTAAGGCCCACTGTTTTGAACGAACGTGCGAGTTGTGCTTGTCCACTACTGCCAACACCGAATCATATGTTAAGTTTGATGTTTCTACACACGCATGGTGGTACTGTGCTATGTGCACAGCAGCGCTGTACAGCAACTTCAGTTGCTTCGCAAAGCATCCACAATGCAGGAACACCGCTCCAAGCCAGATTCATTAACTAAACTAAGAAACTAAATAGTATTTTATCGGGAAAGGCCCACTGAGCTATATAGCTTTTTCAGGAGCGACCTGGCCAGATATGATAGTCCAACGAAGTGGCTTGTCGCGTGGAAATTTCGAGCAGCCAAATACTCTGAACTCGCGTTGATTCTAAATGTGGGTGGGGAAAACAGGAGGACCCGGAGAAAAATCTGCACGACCACGGGGAGAGAACATACAAACTCCTAATATACAGGTATCAGGGTCGGGATTAAACCCACAACTTTCTGCATACCAGGCGAGGTAGTTAACATCTCGCCACCGCGGCACCCTCGAGTGCAGCGGGAGATCCTCTGAGGCAATGGGCAATGTTTGGCATTCTGCAATAAATGGAATATTATATAATGATTAAATTGTATTTCTATTTACAAGTAATTAACACCCAACATATTTAAAGCACTCTGAAGCCCTTTGTTGGGTTTGCTGCGCCTTATAAAACATAAAAAATTACAATAATAACACACAACACCTGGTAAAGCTAATTGGCGGCTCTTGAGATGTTGTCTTGTGAACGCATCTTACCTCGATGTCGTGGGAGCTTTTGAAATCATTGAGGAGCGATCTTTCAATCTCTTCCCACCGAAGGAAAGAATCCTTCTGTAATCACAAGGGGACAAATGTGGAGGCTGGCATCTTGAAAACAGACAGACCCCCTTTTTCGAACACTGAACATCTGGGTAAGCATTTCTAACGGCTAGACTAAACCACTACTTCACTACAAATTCGCGTAAGAGGCCTCGGACAAGGCCGCATGATAGGGGCTTCTCATAACGACCCGGGCGGTGGTCAACAGTGGTTGCCCTATGGAAAGATTGGTCCTCGTCGTAAGAATGTGGAATTTACATGAGTGGCGCTGGCTTGCAAACAGAAATGAGTGACCGCATTGCTCGAGAGTTAGGGAGACGCTGTGGTTTCACAGAAGGCGGAAAGGCTTGGTGTCAGGGTTGGTGGACCATGCGAAGACCATGTGCACACAACACCTGTGCTGATGGTGATAGACTGAATGGGAATATATTGGCATCAAGAAGAATGCAAATATGAAGATACAAATGTGATGAAGGTGATAATGATTTGACAAAGAATGTAACGTTGACGATGTAATGATGCAATGAAGAATGTAACAATGATGAGCAATGGAAATGTTCCATTAATGCAGACGATGAATCACATGAAAATACTTTAACAGTGATTATAATGAAGGTGAAGCGGATGATGGAAAAAGGATAAAATAAAAAACAGTAAAGCGGACAACACAGGCCGACAATGATGCGATGAGTAATGTGGACTCAATGAAATGACAAAGTATGATGATGGAGTGTAACAGTGAGGGTGAATAAGGATTCTACTAGCCAGTTGAGGGCAGATGAGTGACGCTCACAACAAGCGGAGCAGCTGGCAGCTAAAACAGAGCAATTCGGTACAAGTAGGGAGCACAAGTGGTGCATCTGCCAGTGATCTCAGTCAACCCATGGCACCTGTGTCTTTCCAATGACCTCCTAGCAGCGAGCTTTCGACGTACTTCACGTGGCCTCAAGGTGCAACTAAACTGGCACAAGTGCTGTGGTGACATCACCACCACTTAGTGGCGAATAGCGGTTGTTGTTGTTGTTGTGCGGAGACCCACCATGTTCTGTGCCTGGTGCACCGACTGGTCGCAGAAGGGCATCCGCACGTGATCACTGTCCCACGTGGCCTTAAAGTGACGTGGGAAAGGTTGAGGTCGCTCTCCATCTTTCAGGTGGTCAAGCTGCAGCACACAGACACATACATATGTACATGCAAAAACAAAGTTCCCCACATAGCCTTTAAAATATTGTTGGGCAAGTCCTGCTGACGAGCACCTATGTTAGGGCCGGCACGCTGCACAAGAGGGTGGGTGGCCAGCACCCGACCCAGCTGCCTCCGTCTCCCCAGTAATGATGTTCACACAGCGCACCAGGTGCCAATTTAAGTCCGAGTCGACCTACGCAAAGTCCAGGACCAGTTCCCATGTTTTTCAGTGCTTTTTGTTGTTTTTATTTAACCCACAACACAGATTCGCGTGCAGGAAACATGCGGATGGAAGCCACACCCTCTGGGCAATTCTCCACCTAGTAGGGGCCGGTTAGAGTTCACCGGATTCTCTTCTCTACGAGGGCAGGGTCAATGATCGGGAGCTGAAGATGACATTCTCCACTGTTATTGGTCATGAGCAGGAATAGAACTCGTGTCGCCGGATTTGTAATGCAGTGCGCTAAGCACCGCACTGCCGCTCCCCGTAATTCATGAACTCAAAAAAACAAACGGATGAGGCGAGACTAAACATTCCGAGGTTGGGTTTAATGTGGGAATGTCCATAGCAGTGAAACTGAACTGTTGCTGCGGATTGCAGCCTTAGGGCGTGGGTGGAGATTGCGTGTTCTCGCTCCGACGGCACCTCAATAGCCAGAACAGCGTGACCACAACAACGACCTCCGACAGCCGCACAAACCCAGCGTCAGGCCAGGAGCGTGCGTGACAGGATCTCAATGCACGTAAACAAGCACGATCCAAATTCGGTTTCCCAATATCAGATCGAGAGAAGAAAGGTGGATTTACGATTGCGATCCTGAAATGAAGCAATCGGAACTTCCTTTGTGACACACCGAGGTCACAGAGGCTGGAAACGTTTGAGTTTATTTAATTTGTTACACGGATGGTCCCATTTAGCCAGTTTCCTGGCAATTTTTCAAAGGGATATCCATGAGTGTACGTGAGCACAGCAGCGACAAAAACAAAATCCATCAATATTGCAGAGAACGTGGAATATTGCACAACAAATGAGGCATTTGAAATTCCTCAACAAAATATGAGAGCAAGGGGTGCCAGGAAATAAGAGGTACAAGTACAAGGGAGCTGTAACAGGGACACAGGCAGCAGAGGTTGCATGGTCACCTGTCTAGGCCATTAAGGAGCGGTGCGCGCATCATGAATTTGTCTCAATGGCCAAGCAGTGCACCAAAAACTATGGCTCGACTGTTTCTCAGCAGCTACGATACAGTTTCTCAGGTGATGCCCAAACCAAATATAAAAACTATTGTGAATCTTGCAGTATGACCACGCAGCAGCACACACCACTATCGCCCCCTACTGTGAAAACTTGGTGGGACTTTCCTGAAAAATTGCACAGCACCAACGTAGCATCACCAAATTTAAGTCTCCAACCCTTTTAAACACTCACACTCCTGCCTATTTACATGCAATGAAGGGCCATTGCTATACTTTTTCTTTTAAAGCTACGTTATTGATGAATGTGTCAAATTGTTTTCTACTTGTGCTTCTTGAAAAGAGTCACGCGAGTTCGTGACACTTTCCTGGGTAAACAAGCGTTACACCGCACTGCCTGCGTGCAATCGAAGGGTCAAGCAGCAGTCCCATGCCCGTCTGTGACCACCACCACCCCCAACACTCTATTGACTTGCTACCGTGGGACTTTGCAAGGCAGATTGATGTGCGTTTAAACGACTTATTTTAAGGTAGCGACTAATCAACATTGAGAGGTGTTTCCTGAAGTTGCAGGAGAGCTGGGAAGTGTCTCCCTTGCAGGAGGAGATGATTAAAACTTTTATGTATACACATGTACACGAGGCACATGCATGCACAAAAAAAAACAAAGATTACCGACACAGCCTACATAGAATGTTGGGGTAATTGCGGTTAGGAAGTACCTCCTAAGTCAAGCAAGGCCCCCAATCACAATCAGGTGGGGAGGTCAGCACCGTGCAAAGCCGCCTTTATCTCACCAATGCTGATGTTCACACACCATACGAGCTTCACGTACGACTTCGTCAAACTTATGGGAAACCAAGAATTGGGTTACGTGGCACTTGTTGTGCATGGCCGGAAAAATGAACATAGTTTGCTGGGATAATAGTGCAGTCGGTGTGAAATAAGTTCAACATACATACAAAATCACTACCCAACTGCTGGAAGTCCACAGAAGTCGTCCTATTGAGAGAATGCCCCCTGCTGTTGCAATATTGAATATGCACCGCTGACTCGGGGCCACCAATGGCCTTGGAGCACCACACAAAGTTTGAGCGGCACCTCATGCCACTCGGCCTCCCCCTCCACAACAGTGCGCTTTACACGTACGCTTGGCCTTTTCTCTAATCATGCAAGTATGTCAACAAGACGACATTCCAATTGGGAATGCTCACTGTAATTAGCTGAACCACTCTTTGGTCACGGGCCTCTAAAGTCCCTTAAACAGGCCTTGTTCATCTTGCCTTTCTATACCCGGCAAGCAATGTTCTTTGCAAGTCAAACAAAAAATATTTAATTCCTTCAGTTGGTGTTAGCAGAAGTAAAAAAGCAATAAATAAAGTAATCAAATAAATCCTTGGGTCGCGACTATGAACTAGTTACGAGGAAACCTAGTTTAACAATGCATGCCTACGTGGATTTGAATGCAGATTCTCAGCATTGCCTTGGTGTACCGACATGGTATTAGCACTCGGCAACCCCACCATCTCTTTGTTGTCCTTCCCCTGCACCTCCAATTATCACGGTTGGCTACGTACGGTGCGAAAGAAGTCCAACATACATATGCGAATGTGTCCAAGAATGAAATGAAAGGAACTCACCATGACTGCGACTTTGTGGGTTTTACTTGGTTGGAGCTTGGGCAGGTATATCCCATGTGCTCCGATGCTCGCACCTTGAGTCGGGTTGTTGTTGAAGTGCGAGTGGTTTCCACCACTGGAGTTCGTAGGCGAAGTCACGCTAAATGTAGGTGGAATTGGGTGCGCACCCATAACATGCACACAAAAATAGATCGACTCTCATTACCCAGGTCACCGGGTCAGCAATCGGTGTTTCCAAGTCACGGTGTATCGCCACTCAATCAATGGATGGTGCTCATATTCATTGGCAGGATTGAAACAGTGATGGAAATTCCACATTCCCTTGGCAGTGGCCAGCTTTCAATTGGAGGACAATCAAGACCATTACCTCCCTACAAAGCACTACTCACTCCATTGACACAAAATGGGTGAGAAGCCGCATTGTCCACCCAAGGGATTTCAACTTGCAACCTTTAAATGGCGAGCTGAGCACTCTAACCAGTATCAGTGGTTACAAGCACCAGTTAAGTATGCTCAAACTGAACACTATTTTTTATTTTACAAGGTAAGGCCCACTGAGTTGTATAGCTCTTTTTCGGTAAAGTCACGTAGGTAAAAAATAAAAGAAAATGAAAACAACTAAATTAAATCACTACGTTTCGGAAGCAACACAAGCCTCCGTCTTCACGTGGAACTGCCACAGTAAAATTACTGTAGTGAATAAAGAGAGCGGTTTAGAGAACTGTGATTATATATGTTTAGAAAACCGTGATTATATAGGTACCCTAAAAATCACGGTTATCTAAACAGCTCTCTTTATTCACTACAGTAATTTTGCTATATATTAATAGCTGATCGCTAACCACACTTGCCCCAAAAGTCTTCCGACTATAAGCGGGATCTTCATTTGAAGCTTTCGTGACTGCAGGAATCTATACTCTTTGCTTCTTTCAGTATTTTATACCTACGTGACTTTACCGAAAGAACCAAAGAGTATAAGGGGATCTTTGTCATAATACGGCCTTTTTGTCAATCCGCTGCTACACCAGGGCTTCCATACACCTTACAGTTCACAGGGGTTATATGACCATACTTTACCAAACTGGTCAGTGCGAGTTGGTGAAGGCAGGGAGCGGATTCATCGAGCACTACAATTCATTTTTATGCACCGTCCCCTGCAGAAAACTTTGGCACCAAAACGTGTAAAAATTAACCCGTGAAAACAAAGCTTTTCACTATAAATCCTTTATATGCGTGGCATCGGTTTTATTTTATTATTCATTTCTGTTTTTCTTGAGTAAGAGTTTCATTTTTATCACATTGGTATTTTAAATTAAATATGAATTTTTTTTTTCCTAAAAAGTGGAACATTTTGGAAAAAAAATTTTCACGAACATTAATTGTCACGCACAACGAGTCTGTGTGCAAAATGTCAGCTCGATTGGATCACGGGAAGTGGGTTAAAAAACGACCGAAAGATTTGCACGGTCGTAAGCGCGCAAGCAAGCAAGTGAACTTAATATAAAGGATTAAAAAATACGTGCCTTAAAAAATAGCTGGTGAGCCCACTGGTTACTATTGCCTCACAATTTGAAAAAATCGTCGCAATCTGGGGATCATAATACAAATAAACAATCCATTTGCTTGTTGTCCCTTTTGTGTGTCTCGTGAACACCATCGCATTTGTAAGGGTTGTGTCAATTGTATTTCCTGCACCGTTCGTAGTCTGACTGGCATGTGCTCCTTACAACTTGCTGCGACTCGTTCATTTTATTGATTCACTGAATGGTAACAAGTGTGCAGATTCACATACAGATTGAATAAATCATAAAAGGTCTTCCAAGCAGTTTGAAAGTGTATCTCAAGTTCAAGAACCGATGTTAATCAATAAAGCGATAACTTAGTATCCATATAGTCGACACACGCAGATTGTATTAATTGCAGCGCCACCACACTTTCTGCACAGCGGCACAAACCTTGCACAAACGTTGCACTTTGCTCACCAACAAACAGAATGCAAGTCGGCAAAGAAATATTTAGTACCCGTGCTTCTTGGGTGGTGATTGATCCATGGAGTCTTGGTCAAAAGCCTTAGAGGATTTCTGCCCCGTTCCACAGCTGGTGCTCGATGGTGAACCCATCGCTCCCTTGACATTCGAGGTGCTTGCCCGCTCCGCTGGGTTCAACTTGTCCGAAGGGTGACCTCTTGTGTTTGTCCCCTGTGGGGGGTCACGGGTACCGGCCCCCGACTGGCCTTGGTTACTAGCCATGGTCTCACTCGACGCAGGGTTGCAACCATCGCTGTTTGCATCCTTCCTCTGTGCCTGCTCAAGCATATCATTCACACCAAAAATGTCATTCTTAAGAGCTGGTATTATCAGAATTACGTTAGAAAAATAACAATTACAAAAGGTTTCATCTTCTTGGTTCTTTCGGTAAAGTCACGCAGAATGGAAATAATAAAAAAATAAAAACAAAACATAATAAAATCATTCTCACGACGTTTCGGCCACAACGCAAGCAGCCGTCCTCAGGTGTAGAGTCATTCAGACTCTGTCTTCTCGACAGACCTGTTCTTCACCTGAGGACGGCTGCTTGCGTTGTGGCCGAAACGTCGTGAGAATTATTTAATGTTTTGTTTTTATTATTTCCATTCTGCGTGACTTTACCGAAAGAACCAAGAAGATTAATCCCTGCAGTCACGAAAGCTTTAAATCGAAATTACAAAGGTTTTAACAATCACGGTTGCGGAGCATATGTCCAAATGCCCAACATTCCAAGTAGCCAGCAACAACCAGCACTTCACACAGCTAAAGTTTCCCGAGGTGCGACAGCATTTTGAGATGAGCATCGGATGCAAGTTTTAAGTTGTCGCAAAACTGACAGAAGGGGACACAAAGACAGCAGCAGAAGGCGTTTGTCATTGAGGCAACAGGAGAAGTTCTAGGCCCTACAGGAAGGACAAGTGCTCAAAATAAAGAAGCCATTGAGAAGGGCTAGGGGAGTGAAATTAGGCAGAAGCAGAGCAGCCGGAAGATGGTAACAGTAAGAGGAAGATGAAAACACGTGTTCTATGGTGAATTGATAGTGGTAAAATGATGTCTATGACAACAGAACTAGAACCAATTAGGGAGAGCAGTGGTGCAGAACACACTACACTGAGAAGGCGGTGTTAGACTTCTGGTGAGCATCATTTCGTAAAATTTTCAATGGAGAGGACCCTATAGACTCGACAGAATCATTACAGAACAGGCAGTAGCAGAAGGTTCTGTGCAGAATTAAGAGCTTACAGAAGAGGCCAAAATGGCAGTGGAGTGGATTCAATCAGGAAAGGCAGTGGGAATGTGGTGTTCCTGATGAGAAAGGAGGAGGCCATCGCATGCTGACGGAGTTACACAAGATGATCAAACGTGCTTGGAATATTCTTAGGTGTTTTCGGTAAAGTCACGTAGGTAAAACATCAAAATTAATAAAAATAATAAAATAAAGATCACGACGTTTCGGAGGCAACACAAGTCTCCGTCATCAGGTGGGACAGTCACAGCCAGATCAGCTGCATCAAGTGAGGCAATGATTCAAGATGTAATCCCTTAAAAGCGAGTTGAGGGATTACATCTTGAATCATTGCCTCACTTGATGCAGCTGATCTGGCTGTGACCGTCCCACCTGATGACGGAGACTTGTGTTGCCTCCGAAACGTCGTGATCTTTATTTTATTTTATTATTTTTATTAATTTTGATGTTTTACCTACGTGACTTTACCAAAAACACCTAAGAATATGATTCCTTGTAGTCACGAAAGCTTCAAGTCTAGAATTAGTGTTTGGAATAGGCAACAGCTGCCACAGGACTGAAATAAGGGAATCGCCATACCATCAAAAAGAGTGCAGCGTTGCGCATTGTAGGTAAGGCATTTACTAGAATACTGCTAAATAGGATAAAGAATCATACATAAAAACAATTGAGGGCAAAATCAGTGAGGATTTCCATCGGGGAGAGACTGCAGTGATCAGATCTTTACAGTAGGACAGATGATAGAGAACAGTAGGGAGTATTTGGAGTTTTAGATTTCCTTTGTAGACTTAAACAAGCCTATGACTGTGTGGTGGAAGGTTCAGTGGGGACTGCCAGGCTGCTACAGCATCCCAGGTGAGATGGCATCTGCTTCAAAACTGGGACGGTACAAAGGGGCGAGACATCAGAATGATTTTGATTTGAAGCTGTTGTGACTGCAGAAATCCATACTCTTTGGTTCTTTCGGTAAAGCCACGTAGGTAGAAAAAGGTAATAATAGATCACGACGTTTCGATCGCCGCACACGCAATCGTCTTCAGGTGGGAGAAGACGATTGCGTGTGTGGTGATCGAAACGTCGTGATCATTATTCTTTTTTTCTACCTACGTGACTTTACATCAGAATGGTTGATTTGTTTAACATGTAGGCTTTCACGACCAATATCATCCATAAGAGGTTTTTGGGTTAAGATCGCGTAAATATGTTGTTAAAACCCGCCACCACCCAACACAGCCAACTAGTAAGGGTTGTCACGTAAACAGAACGTGCCAATTCGTCACTAGTACAGCATACCGGTGTTGGAGAGCCAAGTCACAACATTTACAAACCGAGTACGACGTTTTGCCAGTAATTATAACTAGCTTCATCAGGCGACAGCCAGATTTATGGAGGAGTCTTACTGTTTCATTCCTTATATTAGAGGTGTAGATGTGTTGACCACACTTTTGCGCTCTTTCACAATGTGGAGGGGGGGTGTATTACTGAGGCAATGTGCATTATGCATGTGCATTACGCAAGCCCTTTGAACTTGTCCTTCCTGTCTATTGTTTATTAAAATAGCCCTACCAACAGTAATCCCTACTGATGTACGCTGCTCTTTGTAGGCATCCACCATCTGACACTTTCTTAGCTCGATGAATGAGCGTCTTGATAAGAGCAGATGTGGTCTACGAAAGTGTTAGATGGTGACAGTCTGAGAAGTGAAATTCAACATGTGAAAGAAGCGCTGCAAATGTTAGGACAGGTGTCCACCCAAGTATGTATTTTGTCTCCGGTGTTGTTTAATGTTCTGCTTGACTATGTATTCACTACCACCATTAATGGGGTTTGCACAGTAGAAATCACAGAGATCAAAGCAGCTCAGATGAATGTGTGGGCCTTGGAGTATGCAAATGTGATGCAGGTTTGTTGGCCAGGACATTCAACTGTTGGCAGTCTTCAGCAATGAGGCTGAACACTGGGGTCTTAAAATAAAATTTCTACTACAAAGTATTGGGCAGAAGTTACAAATAGGGCTCCTGTAGTTGGATCGCAAGGCATGGCAAGAGAGAAAGTCAGGGTGGCCGAGGACCTTGTGTGTACTTAGGCAGTAGTGTCATAACGCAACGGTTTGTGAGCAGGAGGGCAAGAGATACTGCATAGTGCTTTAGCAGATCAGGTATTGATGGGCTGTGGAAACGCCTTTGGAAGATAATGTTTTATAGCATAACAATTAGAGTATTTGAGACACAAATACGACCATCATTACTCAATGCATCAATACAAAATAATTTGCACTCATATGGCACCTTTCAGTTTTCATGTGCACGTGTGTGTGCGAGAGAGAATCTTTGCGTGTGATTGTGTATCTGTTCAGCAGGAGTGCTTCGCCGGCCTTAATAGTTGCCCGCGAACAGCATTTACCCCAACACTATGTTAAAAGGCGATAGGGGATCTTTGTCTGTGTGATAGTGCATGTAATCAAGAGTATAATTTCCAATAAAACGGCAGCCAAAGAAGTATGGCCAAAATGCATTTGTTACTCATGAAAAGTAAGGTTTACAAAATTGTTTGTAACAGCGTTGGCAAACGACTAGAACGGACGGCAGCCAAATTGGACAGGGCATCAGTTTCTAGCATTTGCGCTTTACATGTCAAGTTTTGCCTGCTTGATGACACATTTACTTTTGTGCAGTGTAAATTTGCATTTGGCAAAAGATGACGGACCGACAATCAAATCTAAATCATTAACATTCACACCATTCGTACAGCCCAAGGCGATCACGAAGTGGTTGTTTTACAGACAAGGTCTGCATTAGCTTTGCAATACGAGGCAATGTTGCCATGTGCTTTCCCATTTCAGTTATTTGTGGGTAATTTTTTACATTCAGCAAATTTAGGGGTTTGTTACCATGACTACAGTGACCAGATGTGACAATTGTTGCAGCAACATCAATTGTGTATTATGTAGATTATTTGAGGTGTTCCCAATGTAACAAAAAAATGTGCATTGTGGCCAGATTCTTTTGTAATGTGACTTTCTTGGAGCCATTGAAATACTAGGGACAAAGTCACCAAAATTATCCGAGCACGATGTTGCTGGTATAAATTATTGTTTTTCTCGTCAAGGAGCACAAACCACTACGCAAACTCTGGTCATCCTCGCAGTGGCTTTTGGCTAGCCATCAAACAAAGACAGTCACTGCATCGTGCGTATTCAGATGTACTTCTGCAGCCATCTGGAATGCAAATTCCCTCCGATATTAGGAAGCCACTGGAGCTCTGCACTTTTCAATCATCTAGATTAAAAACTAATTTCTTAAGAACTGCTTTGTGTTTAGTTTGTTGTTCTTCCCCCGCACCTCCAATGAGCACGGTTGGCTGCGTATGGTGCAAAAGAAGTTCCACATACATACAAGTTCAACGGTAGTAAGATTAGAGAAGGGTTGAGTGATTGCACTTGGTGACAAATACACACAGAACGCTGTGGAGGGTGGGAGAGTAAAGCTGACCCACAGAAGGAGCAAAACCAGTCCATAAAAACTCAAGATCAAGGCCGCATGAAGCAGATACCGTCTCTTATGCTGAGCACGCAAACTCCACCTGTGATTTGGCAATGGGAGTCCCTGCATGGTCCGACATCTCCGGATGCATAGAGGATTTGTTTGTTAAAGGCTTCATGAAAGTAGAAATTCTAGAGCATGTATGCACGCGCGCACACACACACAAACAGAAAAACAGGTACGCTCTCGTTATCTTGGTTAGACGGTCAACAATCGGTGTGTCAAAGTACAATATATCATTGGCACAGACAATCGATTAATTGCAGATTTGCACTTTCCACAGAGATGTACAAATGCTGCACTTTTTTCACTGCCAAAATAAAACGCTCCTCTGAAAACATGTAGTACCCAATCTCTTTTGGCGAAACATTGTCGTTGGAGTTCTCTCTCGACTCTGAAAGGCATGGCTCTACGGTGACGTTGTTCTGTAGCCCGTTGGCGTCATCCTCATCATTTGGCACTGGTTGTTTCTTCGTTTCACAGTCGCTGCCCGCTCGGTTCACCTCCATTTGTTGTTCCTTCTGTCCCTTGACGACCGGGCAGGTCGTGTTCTCGGAGTCCAACCCCTCTGACCTCAGCATTTTAACTGGTGTTTTGTCAATCATTCCACTGACGCCTCCAGGATTGCATGGTCCAGCCTTGGCTTCAATCTGTACCTGGCTCTTATCATTGATTTTTTTCTCTTCTTTTGCCCTCTCTTCAGTGGAAAAAAATTCTAACAACGTCGTCTGCTTTAAAGAGGAAGGGGTTTTGTTTGAAGTAGGTGGTTTGTCAGAACTCTTCTTGACATCTTCTTTTGGTGAGGACGTTTCCGATAGCATTGATGAAGGTGTGCTGTTTAGATTACGCTTGCTGGTGTCCGTTTGTTGGAGATCTTTTTGCTCCTCGGACCACGGATAGCCAATTCCTTTCCCAGTGGAATCGCTGGCGGTTTGTCTGAAATCAAAAGGGATTCGAGGATTAATACTCTGCAACCACTGGACATTGCGATTGGTTGCTCATTGTCAATGTCCTTTTTTGTCCGTCGCCTTTCACCCCTGTAGTGAGATTAATTCACATCCGTTATTTATCCAGGAAAACTCCACTGAATATCAAAGGTCCTGAATGCACGTGGACGGAAACCAAAGGACCTGGTAAGAACCTTATGCAAATGAAGGGGGATAACACTCAAAAGGCGGCACAGATTTGTTTGAAAATCATTGACTGGCCAGCAAATAGCCCAGCGAATTATAAAGTACATTGACGTCGATGCCACCAATCTTCCAGCAGTTTGCAATCAACAACAACGATAAGACTCGGAAGCTTCTTCGCTTTGCGGTGAAGGCTTCCTCTATTGCCAGGTCCTTGAGCTTCTATCTTGACAGTGATACGGTTCACGTGGAGTAAAAGGATGGGGATGTAAAATAAAACACATCAGTCATAGTCTGGAGTCCCAGATCTTTTCACATTCAGAATGTAACTTCACCTTTGAATGACAAACGTAAAAAAAATGGATGAGATAAATGAAGTTGCAAGAACGATATTTAAAGCTGAGAATTGCCCAACAATGCAGGTATCCATTCCATTGGGAACTGCCATTCTGGTAGCCCCCCAGCACAAACTGCATTCTGAGTAACCCTAACATCGGATCTCAAGGTAGAAGAACATCACCCAGGTGATTAGGGTGCCACGGTGGTGACACGTTAGCTATCTGGCCTGGTATACAGGAGTTTGTGGGTTGGATGCTGACCCCGACGCATGTTCTCCCCATGATTGCATGGATTTTTCTCCGGGTCCTTCAGTTTTTCCCTCAACATTTAGAAAAATTTGTTTTGAGTATTTGGCTGCTATAGATTTCCACATAATAAGCCACTTCGTTGAGCTATCATTTGTGGCCAGGTCGCAAAATGAAAAAGAGCTAATTTGCTTAAGTGGGCCTTACCTGGTAAAATAAAAATAGTTTATAGTTCTTAGCAAAGGCTCCAGCATATTATTCATGCTGTGAAAACTGCATCGTTTTGGCATGAAGTCATACGGTCTCGTGTGGCATACAAGATATATATCAGGGTCAAAATGATTCATCATTGTGTAATTGAAAATGTATTCTTTACCAAAATAATGCACGCATGAAACAGCTTGCACAAGAATCATGACACCGTCGAAACCGGTCCAAAGTTTTCTCCACTTGAATCAATAACTGCTGACACTATGCACTCCGAGAAACCCATGCGGCTGCAGAATTGTGAGAAATTATAAAAAAATTTTACGTGTCTACTTATCTATTGTTTTATTAATAATCTCCACAAGGATAATAATGATCATTGAGTTATGCACGATCATTTATTTTCTATTATGCAAATCTGATACTTATGATAAACGGTGTCTTGTTATAGACGGCAATACAAATATTCTTGCACGTATCCATAAAAAATTCAGATAGCCACCCAGCATATTGCCGTGCACTTCTCATAGACCTGTTGTTTATGGAAGCTTCAGGTTGCTGCTGAGCGGTGTTGCAACGGTAAGACTCAATTGTTAACATCCGCCATCCACCGTTATGATGGCGACGTGCTGCTTGTGCTGTATTGTCACTTTGTACTGCTTCTCTACAATCAACTTAGAATTACCTACAATGGACTGGTGAGGACCTCTGTAAAAGAGGAAATAATTTATTGTATCACAGTTAAAATGGAGGCTTAGTCTTTTTCTTGAAAACTATTATGCACTTGGAATATTTGATGAACCATAAGTATACCTCTCAGATAACTGGCAATCGGCACCCTCCATTCCCTATGGATGCTGGATATCAGAGCTTTTCCTGTATGTGATTATGGTTCTTTAAACAGTGATTTGCCACATGCCAGTCATCTGATATGTATAGAAATTGTCATCCTTAAATCTGAATTTGCTTAAATAAAGCAGAAACGTTAATATTAGCATTATTTTTGTGCAGTCATTGGTGATCAGACTGAGAATTCCAATCTCAATATTCTTGACAATCATGTTTAACCACAAGGTGGATGTCCAAAGTGCAATGCAGTACATCAGTTATGATGGCACGGTGCTCCCGACATGGCCATTACAAACCTGCTAAGCCACTCACAGTAACCTTGTGATCCTGTTAACTAGTCCACTGTATTAAAGCATTGGCCATTTATGAACTTGCTTAAATAAACCAGAGTGAAACTCCTCTTATCCGTGGTGATAGAGGGTGCCATTGGCAAGGTCTATTATCCATGTCTTCTTGTCAACATCATCATCCATGGCCAAGCCACTGCTAGATGAAGGTCTCCCCAAGGCACCATCATGTTATCCACCTAGCACTTGTACACAAAGTGATGTATTATTATATATTTTAACTCTCCATCTCCCTCGTGTATACGAGAATGGGTATTATTTGCCATCACTTCTGGGCCATTCATTTTGTACTACACCACGGATAAAGAAGATTATTGTGTTGAAAGATACCACTTTTGGCAACTCATTCATGCATAATAGAATTTTGTAGCACATCAGGGCGATGAGGTGGGAATTCATAGTAAGAATTTAATGTTACCTCCAGGTGACTTACCCATTGATAGGTATGGAAAAATAAGATAAATTTATCACTTCTGGGAGACCGCTTGAGATCGACTCATCTGCGACCTAATGTGCATAACAGGAAGTATATTCCACCACTTCCAGATTACTCCACTAATCCAAGGTTAACCTCTGATAATCAGGAGAGAGCTCTTTATACAATTTGGCATGGATTGATTGACAGGTGTGAATAATAGGATGAACGTGAAATAGAGTTAAGGATAAGAGGCGTTTCGGGGGAAAGAGTTATGTAGTGAAACAGTTGTAATGCTCAGTCATACATTCCTAACCCACCTTCTCGACACCGTTGCTCTCATTGATTCTCCGCTTGAGGAATTGGGTTCTCTTTCTCCTAGGGTAAGAATTACGACAGACATAAACATGAATACAAGTTCATTTTTCAAGTCATCACAAAATCTTGTTTTTTGTAACATGTGAATAAGTGCCAAATACAAATTCCAAACCTGTTTATATTTGTTACCAGAATCGGTATTAGAAACGTTTATTTATCCTGTAGGAATCCGATGAGCTATGAAACTCTTTTTCACAAGATGCCCAGCAGGGGCGGGTCAGAAAGTTAAACAACAAGACAAAGAAAAGCAATAGGAGTGCAACAAGGAATAGGTAAGAAAGTTATTATAAATACATAATTATTATAATATGCTCGTCTTGCCGAGCCAGATGCCAGCCACTTCATCAGCAGTGCGAAGGCCCTGAGAACACTGTCGACTTCGATCAGGGAGCACTCATCAACAGCGTGCTGATTGTTGTTTCCCTGGCCACATCCAGAGAGGGTTGTTGTCACATTGGTGCCAGGTTTGGAGGCTGGCTGCACGCAGACCCTGGCTGGAATGGCACCTGTTGAGCAGGACCTATGACCACCATGGTAGCTCCAAGCCAGAGGCGAACGGTGTGGTCGGCGATGAGGAACTAGTTCTGGATGTCTTGGGTGGACCATTCCTCGCACCACCTTGATACCATCAACAAGTCCCAGTGTGGCATGTTGGTCCATTTAAGGCACCTCAATGCCAAGTGGGCTCGTGGAGGGTCGAACATGTCGTATTTGCACGACTATATTCCATCCTCTTCGCCGTTGCCTCCCCACGATGGATGCGCGGGAGAATACTACTCAGCGACAACGGCCAAGGCAGTGGGGTGGGTCATAGCTACGTCCCTGTGATGGTGCGCATGGTTTAATGCCGTTGGGATGTCAACCAGCAGCTCTGTGTGCACAATACTCAATCGCTGAAAATCATACGGCAATAGCAGTTGTGCGGAGCGTCTTTGCACCTGCACCCCAGGTTCAACTGGCCAGTTTGCTAAGAAAGTTGTTCTTTATCCTTGACTTTGGCTACCATGTTTCTTTAGGTGGTTGTGGAATGTAAAGACATGTCCAATGTCGCGCCGTGGTAGACTGGAGAGTCTCGTGTTGCAGGCGCTACCCATTTATATGAAACACGCTTGACACCGTTTTCGTCACTCGGTTGCAGGAGCCGTCTGCCGAAGTATTCGGTCAGTTTGACTACGTCGGTATTCAGGTATTCTAAAGTTCTGAGAATGTGCGCTGCTGTGTGCCGCACCAGATTTCATCGGCATGAATTGACGTTTGTGACTGGCTGGGTGGAAGTCATTGGTTCTATTCTATTCTGAAGTATGGCAATATGTTCAGGAGTTAAATGTCAATACAAAGCTCTGCTAGCCAAGAGCGGGCTTCAGGAAATCATTTGTGCAGGTTTGCTATTCCTTGTCGAAGGAGCGCAACTACAATGGTTTACTACCCGAGGTCGTTAGTGTGCAGGTTTAACTTGAGCTGGTGTGAGCACGAAGACCTGTTGTACTTGCAGTTTCCACGTGCTTACTCTGGTCCTACACGTGTTTACCGTGCCAACTGTCTCTAAGCAGCAGTTCAATTTTGTCAACTGCCGACCTTGGCAAGACTGGATATTTTCACTAGAAGGCCAGTGTGCGAGACTGTGTCGTAGGGGGCAGTCAGGTCTAGAAATACGGCTTCTGTCTTTATGTTTTTTCTGGAAGCCATTCTCGATGAATGGAGAATGCACTGGTGTATGAGATGCTCCAGAACCTTGAAGCACACTGACAGCAAAGAAACCGGGTGGTAGCTTATAACATTTTGTAGCTCTTTTCCAATTTTGGAGGTGAGAGGATCTTTGATAGCCACCAGATCCTTATTAGCCTCCTTTCGTTGGTAACCCATATGGCAAAATTTACCAACTACTGGCAAACACGAGATCGAAGGCGTTTTAGACATTCCAGAGAGATGATGTCATAGCCTAAGGCTGTTACAGATTTTACATTCCACAGTATCTTGTCTAGTTCTGCGAGTGTGAAAAGTTCCACATAGATGTAACGTGGAGCTTTGCCAGTGGTATTGTCGCCATTCATTGCGAACCTACTGTCGGACATACATTTTCATTGGGACCCTTGATATACATAGCAAGTCACTGGCAGATTTGTTTGGCGTCACCAGCAAACACCTTGAAGTTGGTGGTTGCTGCATTGTGCCAAGATGCCAGATCAGGTTCCATCACTTCAACTTGAATAAGTGGCAACAAGTTTCACAGTTGTCTCTTCCCAATGGGCATAACTGCTGGAATCAAGTGACTATAAGATGATCGGTGATGGCTGGTTCACCGGAATACTCATATTATTTTAGTAAAGTGTCATATATAACGTTTAGGACACGTAGTGTAAACCGGATGATTATCCAGAAGGATGGCTATGCATGCTGCTTGAAAAATGGCACCTCGAAATTGGCTGTATACGCCATCAATTGGCATGCTGCTTGACAGAATTGTGACAACGCTACATTCCAAGACACTGTTGTCCTTCTCCCAGTCAGTAATTCTAATATTTCATGTTGGCTTTATTCAAGCTTATGATGATTAGAAGTCAAAGGCCAAAATGGATTAGCGATGGTCTAAGTTGACTGTGTGAAAAGTTATCCAGCATCAAGCACATTGCCGACGAGGGGCGTCTGCCCGGCAAACTTGCCCAGCAAAGATCAGGCAAGTAATCCCTTTACCATCTGGCTGAGTGAAATATTGCCCGTTGCTTCACATTGTGTTCGAGGTTGTTTGTAGATGACCACTGTACCAGTTGTTCTCCATCTGCATTAAATTCAGTGTAGCTTGAGTCAGGGTGATATCGATTGAAATCACCGTTGCACTTAAAATTTCGAATTAAAGCTTTCGTGACTGCAGGGATTCACATTCTTGGTTCTTTCGGTAAAGTCACGTAGAAGGGAATACGTTGCACTTCAGTTTGCGCTATTTATGTTGCTCGGCCAGTGTTAGCCTCCGAGGGCGTGCGAAGGGTTCCTTTTCTCATTCCTGTTGCTCCGTGCCCCCTGTAACCGCTGCCGTTCCGTTGTAATGGGCACCGATGCCTACTTATATATGGAGGATGATATTGGCACATAAAATAAATATTGATTGATTTACCCCTAAAAATGGCTGGATGAGGCAGCCCTCGTTGGTCCCGGTGTATACTCGCTGGTGATCTGGAAAGCACCAAACTGAATGACGTCATAGAAAGATGTTTGCGAATGTGAAGTGGCATCTGAGATGCCCAAAGGAACGCGCGTGTCTCGGCTGTGAGTCGTGGCTAACGTGCATGTGGGAGGGGGGACTGTGCATTTTTGTGTAATCAATCTATGCAAACATCTGACGGTACAAAAACAACACAAACTAGCAATACATTTCTTTCACCTAGAGTCTTTGGCAACATGTGCAACCAGCTGAAATAAAAGCAGGGCGGATTAAATGTGGCTGCCTGCGGAAATAGAATCCAATACTGCTCCACACTTCGCCACAAGCCTATTCTCACTAATACGAGCTATGTATGCTGATGTCAGGATTGCCAAGTATACTGTTAATAAGCCGGTCCCTATAAACTGTTGCCAGTAAGTTCAAGACACTTCTAGCTCAAAAAAACCACACCCCCGACCTGTAAATAGTGATTCATCTTCATGTGGAACCACTTCCATTTCAACTTAATTTGCATCTATTTTGTACAAACCTGTTCGTGCGCTTACGGAAAAACAGGGTACAATGAAGGTTTATTATCATTGCTAGGCATACCTTGTAGTTGGTAGTGTCTTACGCCGATTATCCATACGTCAAAGCCAGACTAGCAGCGTTCTGGAAAATATCGAGTGAAAAATCAAGCCCTTGCCTCCAACCCATGTTCTGTCAGTCAAAACAGGCGCTCACAAGCCGGTCTTACAAGTAGCAACTGCGGTCACCATAATTATCTGGAACTAGTGAATTCGCTACTGCTAATATTGCGTCGAGTGCTCCACTTCTTGAAACTAAAACAGCTTATGAAGCTGATGTCTTAACTTTATGAATAGGCCTTGAGAGATATAAACACACCTTCTCACGAAAGAATAACATTTTCAAACTGTTCCTCGTAAGAATACGAATGCCCTAAAGCCACAATCACACAATCCAACAAGCTGATGTCACGTAGCTTTAATATCTGTAACTTCCCCCGGGGGCAAAGCAGCCTGTATGACTCCCGCCAGCAAAGAGGAACCGAAACTTCTTTAAACTTAACATGTTCAACAAACTGCTAATCCTACATAATACACGCGCATAATATGACTTTGAGACCTCCCCACCACCTACACATTCCACCACAAGTAGTGACTAATCCCATATCTGCATTTTCCATAAATATACTAAATTCCTCTGTTGATATGTAAATGCCTTTGTCAAGGCGCTCTCCTCCTCTAACCCAGCTTAAATATACGCTACCAAGCTTGGTGGTGTTCATTCCGACGCTGTCTTTCCGACAGCCCTGTTCTTCACCTGAGGACGGCTGCTTGCGTTGTGGCCGAAACGTCGTGAGAATTGTATTTTATTAGGTTTTATTTTTATTCTTTGGTTTTTTCGGTAAAGTCACGTATAAAAATAAAATAATAAATTAAATAATAGCATACGACGTTTCGATTGCAACACAAGCAATCATCATCAGGTATAATGAAATAGCGACATAGAATATAACCAGAAAACTATAGACAGACATATAAGCAGACAGATATCACCAAGATACATAGAGAGAGCAACCCAGGTACAGAGAGAGGTGATCGTCTCTGTGGGGTGGCCTTAAATAGACAGAGGGGGGCGGAGGCAGAGAGAGGGAGGGGGTAGGGAAAACATTTACATGTCAATGAGTACGAAGGGAGGGGAGTAAGGTAAGCAGGCTTAGAGGGAGACAGAACACACTAAATTAAATAACCTAGCAAAGTATCGAAATGTTATGTAAAACGACACAGAGAGTCGGTCAACACACAATTAACGCATTGCCTGGTCGATTACGTATTTCAAAGATTGCTAAGTTACTAACTTACCGAAAAAACCAAAGAATAATTCCTGCAGTCACGAAAGCTCCAAAATTAAGATTTATTTTTATTATTTTATTATTTCCCTTCTACGTGACTTTACCGAAAGAACAAAGAAGATGTTCAACAAACTCTCCTGACTACCAACAGCCAAAAATCTGCGTTCAGTGCAACTCAGCCGAGACATCTGCCGGCACCAACATGCTGATGGTGAGCAGCTGACCAGGTAAACATATCCCAAACTCTCCTTTCGCTCGCTAATGTCACAAGCAAAGCCACTGCTGCCAGGGCTCTTGTCTCACTGGAAACTGGAGGTTAACACTGCGCTGAAGGTGTTCGTCTTGCTACAACAGTAAAAGGCACAAAGTCTATCTCTCTGTCTCCCGTGTTCCCTCTGCGTGCCTGTCTTGTTCTCTATGGGACCCTGTCCTTGTCCCCCCCAGCGTGTCTCCTTGTTTCTGTATAAGCATACATCCTGTATATGTTTGTGTCTCTGTCTCCCATGTGTCGCTAGCTATGTCGCCATCTCACCGTCCAGAGCTCCAATCGGTCTTTGTGCGTGTCTTGTTTACATTCTCTGTGCCTCTCCCCCTCTCTTCAAGTCTCTCTCCCGTGTCTCCCTCTCCCGTGTCCATGTACTCTCCCATCTCTCACGGTCTCCGTGTCGATTTCCCCGTGTATCTGCGTCTCTATCCCCGTGCCTCTCTTCGTCCGTCTCCCTCCCAGTGTCTCCGTGTCCCTCTCCCCATGTCCCTCTCCCCATGTCTCTTTGCCCCTCTCCCCATGTCTCTGTGTCCCTCTCCCCATGTCCCTCTCCCCATGTCTGTGTCCCTCTCCCCAAGTTCCCTCTCCCCATGTCTCTGTGTCCCTCTCCCCATGTCCCTCTCTCCATGTCTCTGTGTCCCTCTCCCCATGTCTCTGTGTCCCTCTCCCCATGTCCCTCTGCGCATGTCTCTTTGCCCCTCTCCCCATGTTCCTCTCCCCGTGTCCCTCTCCCCGTGTCTCTTTGCCCCTCTCCCCATGTCCCTCTCCCCATGTCTCTTTGTCCCTCTCCCCATGTCCCTCTCCCCATGTCTCTTTGTCCCTCTCCCCGTGTCTCTTTGCCCCTCTCCCCATGTCCCTCTCCCCATGTCTCTTTGCCCCTCTCCCCATGTCCCTCTCCCCGTGTCTCTGTGTCCCTCTCGCAGTGTCTATTGTGTCCGTCACCCGTGTATCTGTGTCCTCCCCATAGTTCTCGGTCCTTCTACCCCGTATCTCTGTGCATCTCCCCCGTCTCTGTTTCGCCGTCCCCATGTCCCTCTCCCCATGTCTCTTTGCCCCTCTCCCCATGTCTCCGTCCCTATACCAGGTGCGTCTCACCGTGTCCCGAGAATTTGTCCATTCCCTTCCACCAGGAGTCCTTGGTGCGGCACTTGTGGGGCGGCTGATCCACGGCGTCGTTGTCTCGACGATCTCCGCCGCTCATCGCCGAACGCAGGCACCTCTCTCGCTCTCTCGTCTCTCCCTTGCAGAGCCCCCCGCCTCCACTCGGCCTTGGAGCAGCAACGAGGATGAGCGCGAACACAACGAGGGCTCGGCGTTGAATAACCTCGCTTTTATTTGTTATCCTGCTCGATATCACGCCTCCCGTGAAGATGCGAGCCGCTTTCACTTCCCCGACTCCCACGTCTTGTGTACAGCGGAGCGCGCCACGCCGTGACGCGAAGTCAACGCGCGCGTAAACCGGCGGACATCTTGCGTAGGGAAGGGAGGGGGGCACCCCCCCCCGCCCCGCTAACGCCGCTCCCCGCGCGTTGCAAATCGCGGCGCAGCGCGGTGACGTCACGCATAAGACATCGAGCGCGTTGTCCTCTACAAAGATGGCGCCCGACAAAGCTTAACCTGCCCCCCACCCACCTTCAACAACCCCATAATCCCCCCACAACCCCCCCCCTGAACCCCCCACAACCCCCCCCCAACCCCCCCTCAACCCCCCCTCAACCCCCCCCTCAACCCGCCCCTCAACCCCCCCTCAACTCCCCCCCAACCCCCCCTCAACCCCCACCCAACCCCCCCTCAACCCCCCCTCAACCCCCCACCCCAACCCCCCCCTCAACCCCCCCCCAACCCCCCTCAACCCCCCCCAACCCCCCCTCAACCCCCAACCCCCCCCTCAACCCCCCCCAACCCCCCCTCAACCCCCCCTCAACCCCCACCCCAACCCCCCCCCCCAACCCCCCCCAACCCCCCCCTCAACCCCCCCCCTCAACCCCCCCTCAACCCCCCACCCCAACCCCCCCCCCAACCCCCCCCCAACCCCCCCTCAACCCCCCCCCAACCCCCCCTCAACCCCCCACCCCAACCCCCCCCTCAACCCCCCCCCCTCAACCCCCCCCTCAACCCCCACCCCAACCCCCCCCCTCAACCCCCCACCCCAACCCCCCCCTCAACCCCCCCTCAACCCCCCCCTCAACCCCCCCCCAACCCCCCCCTCAACCCCCCCTCAACCCCCCCCTCATCCCCCCACCCCAATCCCCCCCTCATCCCCCCACCCCAATCCCCCCCAGCACTCTCAACCTCCACCCATGCTCTTTACTGGAAGTGACGTTCCGAAACAACACGACTTGATTTGCGTTTCTTGTAAATTGGTGTGCGTCTGCTTGAGTCGGCTGTACAGAAATGCACTAATTTAGTGAGTGCGCACCTCCCCAGCTTTAACCATCAACCGCGTCAGAACATTCTATTGACTATTTTTATACTGATAGGAACCTCCTGGTTCCGCGCATCTCCATAAATGGGAATTTAAAGACCCAAGTCACAGTGGTGCGATATTGGCCATGCAACACAAACTTATGGACCATATGGTAAACCTATAGATATACATATAGGTGCAGAGACCTACAGTGAGGGAAAAAAGTATTTGATCCCCTGCTGATTTTGTACGTTTGCCCACTGACAAAGAAATGATCAGTCTATAATTTTAATGGTAGGTTTATTTGAACAGTGAGAGACAGAATAACAACAACAAAATCCAGAAAAACGCATGTCAAAAATGTTATGAATTGATTTGCATTTTAATGAGGGAAATAAGTATTTGACCCCTCTGCAAAACATGACTTAGTACTTGGTGGCAAAACCCTTGTTGGCAATCACAGAGGTCAGACGTTTCTTGTAGTTGGCCACCAGGTTTGCACACATCTCAGGAGGGATTTTGTCCCACTCTTTGCAGATCTTCTCCAAGTCATTAAGGTTTCGAGGCTGACGTTTGGCAACTCGAACCTTCAGCTCCCTCCACAGATTTTCTATGGGATTAAGGTCTGGAGACTGGCTAGGCCACTCCAGAACCTTAATGTGCTTCTTCTTGAGCCACTCCTTTGTTGCCTTGGCCATGTGTTTTGGGTCATTGTCATGCTGGAATACCCATCCACGACCCATTTTCAATGCCCTGGCTGAGGGAAGGAGGTTCTCACCCAAGATTTGACGGTACATGGCCCCGTCCATCGTCCCTTTGATGCGGTGAAGTTGTCCTGTCCCCTTAGCAGAAAAACACCCCCAAAGCATAACGTTTCCACCTCCATGTTTGACGGTGGAAATGGTGTTCTTGGGGTCATAGGCAGCATGCCTCCTCCTCCAAACACGGCGAGTTGAGTTGATGCCAAAGAGCTCCATTTTGGTCTCATCTGACCACAACACTTTCACCCATTCAGCTGTTCATTGGCAAACTTCAGACTGGCATGTATATGTGCTTTCTTGAGCAGGGGGGCCTTGCGAGCGCTGCAGGATTTCAGTCCTTCACGGCGTAGTGTGTTACCAACTGTTTTCTTGGTGACTATGGTGCCAGCTGCATTGAGATCATTGACAAGATCCTCCCGTGTAGTTCTGGGCTGATTCCTCACCGTTCTCATGATCATTGCAACTCCACGAGGTGAGATCTTGCATGGAGCCCCAGGCCGAGCGAGATTGACAGTTCTTTTGTGTTTCTTCCATTTGCGAATAATCGCACCAACTGTTGTCACCTTCTCACCCAGCTGCTTGGCTATGGTCTTGTAGCCCATTCCAGCCTTGTGTAGGTCTACAATCTTGCCCCTGACATCCTTGCAGAGCTCTTTGGTTTTGGTCATGGTGGAGAGTTTTGAATCTGATTCATTGATTGCTTCTGTGAACAGGTGTCTTTTATATAGGTAACAAGCTGAGATTAGGAGCACTCCCTTTAAGAGTGTGCTCCTAATCTCAGCTCGTTACCTGTGTAGGGGTGTTAAAGAGAGGGCCCGTTATGCATGGCAGCCTATGGAAAACAAACACAGTGGGCGGGGCTACGTAAGTGCACGAGCAAGTGCCCTCTACGACGTCCGAGCCAGACACCCTGGGGGGGGGCTGGTTCGAACGTTATGATCCCCCGGGGCCCCACCCCTCAGGGAGGGGTTGGGTATAAAAGGGGATGTTTCAAAGGGCTCGGCAGTTATGTTTAAGCTAAGGGAAGAAGATTGAAGACGTCTTAGATAGAGCCCTGGACTCCCCTGGTTCGATGTCCTTTTCAGGGCCGGACAGGATTGAGCCAGCGGCGTGGTCCCGAAAGCCAGAGCCGGTGCTCTTGTAAGAGCTGGTCTGGAACTCCGGGTACCGGGCCCGACTTACCAGTGTCGGGCCAGTTAGCCTCCCCTAGCCCATTAGTGGAGGATTCGGGGCTAGGACAGAGTTAGCTAGGGGTGTATCCCGAGTTATACGGGTGAGGGGGCCGATACTCCCTCGAGTGTGTATATGCCCACTGTCATATTGTGAATAAACATACGTGTGCCTCAACCTCGGCGTCAAGCGTCCTCACCGGTACTTCACCTGTATAAAACACACTTGGGAGCCAGCAATCTTTCTGATTGAGAGGGGGTCAAATACTTATTTCCCTCGTTAAAATGCAAATTAATTTATAACATTTTTGACATGCGTTTTTCTCGATTTTTTGTTGTTATTCTGTCTCTCATTGTTCAAATAAACCTACCATTAAAATTATAGACTGATCATTTATTTGTCAGTGGGCAAACGTACAAAATCAGCAGGGGATCAAATACTTTTTTTCCCTCACTGTATAGAGATACATAGAGATACGTCGAAGCCGCCAGTGGTGCCGATTGTGGCCATGTAACCCAAACTATGGACCATGTAGTAAACCTATAGAGACAGAGATACATAGCGATGCATGAAAAGCCACCGTGTGATTGTTGTTTTGAAACTCTCTGGGCCACAGACTAAACCACTGTAGTCTGAAGTCCTTCAAAGGAGGCAAAATACCAAAACTACACGAACCTCTGAAGCCCTCTCGCCATGCCTAACAGACGTCGACATTGACAGAAATCCTCCTTAAACATCCAGCTTCACAACTGGAGGGGAGATAGCGATGAGGATCAGCCACTCAAAGTACCTAGCCCATACAGCCCTATGCTCTCCAGGGTCTGAAACAAGAGAGCCATCGGCCCCTCAAGGTTTGGAACGGAGGCATTTGAGGGCCCGACAGGCCGGCCCATACACACATTACTCAACCATACCCATCAGGTCCCCAACCAAACGCCCCCTATGCCTATTTCAAACCCTTATAAACAGTTTCACTTGGAAGCTAACCCCCCTTTTCCTGTGTTGCGATCGAAACGTCGTAGTTTTGTTATTTTTGATTATTTTCTTTGAACGTATCTACGTGACTTTACTGAAAGACCCAAGAATATGAATTCCTGTAGTCACGAAAGCTTTAAGTCAAGATTCTGCACAGTTCCCTTGATTGGGTAAAAGTATCACTTCCACCAGAGTTGGGACATTCCAGGAGCCGAACTTTATGACTCGCCGGAGGTTTATGGCAGGCCGGTGCCTTCAGGGACACGACCCTCAGCTGGAACATCAGGGCCAGAGTAGCAGCAATAAACCACCGCCCCACTGTCTACTGCTCATGTAGATCTACGTCAGGGCATCAATGGAGGGTCCTTTCACATGGCTCAGTAATAACCATGGGCGCAGTTGGGGGGGGGCATGGAGGGACAACGCCCCCACCCCCCCAAAGTGGACACCTTTATGCAATTATTTGACATTAGTTTAGAATATAACAACTTAATGATATGCACTCACAATTCCTAATGTGAGGGACAAAGCGAACCGGAACCCAACTGCGCTTCCCTTCCGCAGTATGTACATATGTAATGAGTGGCTCCGACACGGTAAGCAACTTCAAGTGGTTTATTATAAATCTTCGGTACAGCCACACTTCTCCCTCTCTCCACGCCACGTGGCGCTCACCCCGCTCGCTAACATGGCGGGGCAGCAGCGACGGAGAGCTCCTCTGGATCTTCAAACACCGACCCCCTGACGTTGCTGTACCCCCGGCTTATATTCGCTCCCCGGAGGCTAAGCCCCGCCTCTGGCCACGCCCCTCCTGGAACCTTCGTGAACGTTCCAGAGGCTTCCCTGGTGGAACCGCCCCATCACCTTTACCCCAGATATATTCCCTACCATTGATAAACCGTGGCTGTATGGTAAGGTAAGTAATGTAACCCCCCACAATAATGCAGTAGATGGCGCTCCCTTATTACACATAGACAGTGATGCAAAATATGCAACCGCATTCTTTTTCATGTTTGACAGTAGCCCTAAATGAGTGGACGCTGATATGCAAGTGATCATCTACAACGAACCGTGCGGTTACAGGAAAATAAAACATGACAGGAGGGCGTGATGGCTCGATTTCGTTTATTTATGACTTAGTCTTTTTGCAAATGT